TTTATTGACCCACTTCCTTCTAGCTTCCAAGGTTTCTGATGAGACACTGGTTAATAGTCTTGAAGATCCCCTGTATGAGAGGAGTTGCTTCTCTCTTCCTATTTTCAAGATTATCTGTCTTTGGCTTTTGACATTTGATGATGTATCTCAGTGTGGGTCTCTTTGCAATTCTCCTACTTAGAGTTCATTCATGGTGAACTCTTGCTGGATTTGCAAATTCATGTCTTTTATCAAATTTGGAGATTTTTCAGCCATTATGTCTTCAAATATTTTCTCTGCCTCTTTCTTCCCCTTCAGGGATTCCCAAATTGTTGTTGTATTAAAGTTCCAATAAGTTATGTTCATCCTTCCTCATTCTTTTTTATATTGATAATTTATATTTTCCTATTTTTAAGTTTGCTGAATCTCTCCTCTGATTGCATGTCTTTTTAATCCCTTTGTTGTATTCATATTTTTTGTTTCCATTGCTGTAAATTTTGATCCAGAATTTTTTTTTTTTTTTTTTTTTTTTTTTTTTGAGACGGAGTCTGGCTCTGTGGCCTGGGCTGGAGTGCAGTGGCCGGATCTCAGCTCACTGCAAGCTCCGCCTCCCGGGTTCACGCCATGCTCCTGCCTCAGCCTCCCGAGTAGCTGGGACTACAGGCGCCCGCCACCTCGCCCGGCTAGTTTTTTGTATTTTTTTTTAGTACAGACTGGGTTTCACCGTGTTAGCCAGGATGGTCTCGATCTCCTGACCTCGTGATCCGCCCGTCTCTGCCTCCCAAAGTGCTGGGATTACAGGCTTGAGCCACCGCGCCCGGCCATTTAAAATAATTTTATCTCTTTAGTTCTATCCTTAGTTTGCTCATACATATTTTTCCTTTGTTCATGTCTTTAGCTTTTTAAGCATCTTTAAGACAGTTGTCTTTTTCTAGTGAGACTGACATCTGGGTTTCCTCAAGTATGTTTTCTCTCCATTCATTTTGTTCCTTTAATTGGGCCATACTTTTCTGTTTTTTGGCATGCTTTCAGGTTTTTGTTGTTGTTGTAAAAAACTGGACATTTGACTCTTACCATGTGATAACTCTGGAAATCATATTTCCCCCTACCTTTCCCTGGATTTGCTGCATTTTTGCCTTTGTTTTTATTATTATGGGATAACTATGTGCCAGAGATCAGCCTAAAGGGAAAGCTGAAGAAGGTCTTTTCAGTGCTTGTATCTTTCCCTGGGCATGTGAGGTAGCTTTCTGAATTCTTCCATATATGTAGTTATTTTTGAACACACACACAAAAATAGGTGCAATTCTCTTATATCTCGTGAAAGTCACTTCATCCAGTGGGGGTTGAAACAATGATGACTAGCCTACAAGCCCACAAGATCAGAAGCACCAATCCACAGTAAGAACACAGAACCTCAGTACCTGTGGGATAAGGTACTTATTGCCCACCCTGGCTCCAGAAATCTGCACCAGAATGACATTCCCATCCACAAAGCTGCTTGCCATGGAGCTGGGAGTGAGGAATGTGTAGACAATACCACTCTGATGGCTGCAATCAACACAGATTGTAATTTATTAGGCAAGCTGGAAATTACAAGCATTCAAAGAAACTCTGGAGTTCCAAAATTGTCACTTCAGAGGGATGCCAGAATAGTTTTTCAGGTACAGTGGCAGATTTGTAGCACTTCCTATTTGGTCATTTTCCCTGAAATCATACTCCACATATTTGGTTTTGTAGTATTTCATAGTATCTGAAATAATCTCTAAATATTTATGTGATCTGTTGCAGACAGTAAAATATGGAAAACTGGGTACTCACCTTTAAGAAATGAAGTACCACTCTCTTCACGAATCTTTTGATGCTCCTTCCTAGCGGTCTTCTGGGTGCTACTTAGCCATTGCCTCAAAGAATGTGAAAAGCTACATTACCTAGAAGGATGTGCTTCATATGCCCAAATGAGACCCTAGGACAGAAGTGCTTCCTGCAGCCTGCATTATTATAGGTTGCATTATTGGCACTGCTATGGTGGACTTTCATTTGTCACATGACCTATCTGACCACACCACCCTGGGGGAGCAGGTGGCTCTTTGGGACCAAGCTAGGAAGGCCAGTAAGGAGGATAGGATCCATCTAGACACCTTTGTAGGGGCTGGGAGAGAGTTCAGCTGCGTCTGAAGTACTGATGCCATCGCCTCCCTCCTAGCACAGGTGTGTTAACTACTCTCATATTCTTGGACCTTCAGCCACATGGCTGTGGCACACTGACATGGAGGATCGTGGCATCCTGGGATTCTTCAGGCCTTCTCTTCCTGCTGATAGGGTCACTCTCAGTCCAGAGTCCTAGACTTACATCAGGTATTACAAGAGAAAGTTCCTTTTTCTGGCAATCGGTGGTATGTAGTGGAGAAGTATGAACTATAACTTCTTAGTATCCCCCATTCATGTACAGTGGCATGTGCAGATCCTCAGGAGAGCATGGCCTACAGAATCCAGAGACATGATTGGATCATGCTGTGCCCTATCTCAGGGCTGTGGCCTTGTGCAAGCTACCTTGCTACCCTTCACCTCCATTTTCTTCAAGGAAGGCTTAAGGGGGAAATATTAACCATCTTGATTCTAGATGAGAGTATCAGAGATGGCTGATGTGTGATGTATGTTCCCGGTGCCCAACACTGTGCAAGGAACATCCCTCTGGATGCTATTTCTAGGGAGATACATCCTTAGGCCTATAAATCTGTCCTCTACTCCATCTTCCTTTGCTCACTGCTCTCCTGCCAAGCTGTGCTGATCATTCTAAGCTCCTTCCCACTTCCCAGGGTTTCTCTCTGCCTGTGACACTGAGTCCAGATCTCCGCAGTGCCTCTCCCTCTCCTCTTGCATCCTTCCCTGTTCTGCACAAATGTCACCTACTAGGATAGTCTTCCCCACCCCTCCCCCTTTGGCCTTGCTAGTTCTAGATTAAGTATTTCTCATCTTCTGGAATTTTTGTGCAGGGAATGTGGCACACTTACAGAAGTAGAGATCAGGACTTGGTTGGGTTTTCCAGGGTGGTGTGGAAGCAAAGAGGCTAAACAATAGTAGCCACATTTATTGAGCTCTGAGGGTAACTGGTTATGTAACAGTTCATTTAATCCCAGTTTCCTCAGAGTTAGCTTCTATTATTCCTGCTTTATAGAAAAGGAACCTGAGGTTTGGAAAACTTAAATTACCTTCTCAGGGTCACACAACTCTTGGCAGAAACTCCCACCCTGTATGTTGATCCCTTGAGGCTATGTTTTTTCTTCTTCACCTCCATTCTTCCTCAGTGGGTTGGGGAAGCCTGAGGTGACACCTGACAAAGATTTCTTTCTTTGACCAAACTCTAGCCAGGCCCCTCTGAGCCTTCTTCAATAGGCCTGTCAACTTTTGCCTATTAAGACTTGAACAACACTAACACTTTCTAATGACTCTTAAAGTGCTGGCCTGAAAAACTCAAAGCCGTCCACAGAATTTCTTCCAGCCAACACTAAAGATAAGGCCCTTGTCTCCTAGCCTCTGTGGGAGGATAGGAGCCTCACTCAAAGTGCCAGTAGCAAACCCAGATAGACTGCACACAGATCAGCCCCCTCCCTTCCTGTGTTTTGTAATTTTTCAGTTTTCTGACTCTACTGAGTCCGTTCTCCAGCCCCTCCCTATTTCCTTACCCTCCCTTTAACATACTCATTCACCTCTGTACAAATCAAAGCTGGGTTCAGTTCATGCCAAATTCCTTTCCCCACTGCAATAGTTAGTACCAATTAAAGTCTGTTCTCACCACTGTCATTAATGTTCAGCTTTGTTCATCTTTGACACACCTAGTGAGCTTTGCAAGGTAGGCAGGCCTCCCTCGGCAGGCAAGCATGGTAATAAATGGGGTATGGGACGTATTCTAGGCAGAAGGAACAGCATGGCCAAAGGCAACATTTTTTGTTCAAGGAGGCAAGAGAGCTTGTATTTTGCCAAAAGAAACCCGTTTCTGAGATCTGTCCTAGGAGGGCAATATGGTGTGGTCTTTTACTGAATGTTCAAATTTAGCCTATATTCCTAAGATGTGTGACTCTGAGCTCAGGTCACTAGCATGAACATAATTACAGCATTTACCTTACAGTATATGGGAAGATTATTAAAAGCAGGAAAAACACAGCAACAAACTTCCATGTAGAGACACTTTGTTGCTTGCTTTATAAGTCTTTTAATTCTCACAACCACCTGGTAAGATGGGAATTATTTTTGTTTTGATGGAAAAATCAGAAAATGAAGTGACTTCCCCAAGTTTATAGAGTAAGCAAGTGACAGTCCCAATACACTTAGGAATTTGGGTCCAGAGCTGAGAACATTTAATTGTCTCAATGCAGCACACAGTGCAAACACAAGGCTCAGTTTATGCTGCTATTAACAATATTGTGTTATGATCATTTTAATTTTTCCCTATTTATTTTTGATGCCAGAGTGCTTATACTCTGCACCTCTTGGGCCATATGGCCTTGTCATTGTCTTGTTTCTTGCATGAATTACTTCTGCATATAAAGCTTTTTTCTCTAACACAGTTGCAATTTGTTTAAAGATTGACTCCCCCTCAGCAGCAAAAAAATTAAGTTCCCAGGAAGTGCTCAGTGATATGTGCTTTGCTTCTTTCTAGGTGTTTACCAACAACTGAGCTCTAATTATATCTGACTGACCCAAGGCTAACAAGGAAACTGTTTGACTTTCCAGGCATCAGTGACCTTCAATGACAGGCTGTAACCTCCATTTAGGAAGAGTGAGAGCAGTGGCACCTAGGCCACAGGACTCTGTATTGAGAGATGATGATAAAGAACTGTAGGCTTCTGGTCTCTGGGTAAAGCCTCCCCTTTCCTTCATGTGGAAGCCTGATGCCTCCTTCACTCGGCCCATTTTCCCAATCTGTAGGGCACCCTCCTTCCTTCCCATAGACCTGCTAGGTTCCCATCTCATCTCCTACCTGGTCTCTTTGTTTCTCCTCAGATTATTTAGGGCAAGAAATATTCTCTCCCTCAAAATGGCTCAGATACTCAAGAATTTGTTGGAAGGAAACCGGGGGGTTTTGTAAGAGCTCTCCCCTAAAAATGTTAAACAGCAAACACATAAGAGTGACAAGTGATTAGATGTGACATTTGAGACCACAATGATGAAGCAACCATGAGAAGACAATGATGATGAAATCAATAGCTAATACGTATTGAATGCTATTGAGAGGCCAGGCACTGTTGTAAACACTTTGCACCAATTAATACATTTAATCTTCATAATAATGCTGTGAGATAGCTTTATTACCATTTTACAGATGGAGAAACTGAGGCGTGACACAGTGAAATAGTTTGTCCAAGGTCACACAAAGCCAGTATACAGGCAACTTGGATTTAAACCCAGATAACATGACTCCAAAGCTTAATGCTCTTCACACACACACACCTTGGGGCTCTTAAAGGATATGGAGTGTTTCTTATCTATTAGGCTCACAGTGGATGCTCAAGAAATGGTTAATAGGTATAACTGAGGAAACAATGTCAGTGACATCATAACATCATTATGACATCAGCCAAACCTTCTATCATAGCAAAGTAAGTCTCTTAGTGCTTTCTTAAAACCATCTTCATTTAAAAAGATGGCCTTCTTTTTCCTAGTTCTGTATTGTAAAGGCACTTTAAATCCAGAAATGTAAAGCATTATCACATGTATGCTCATGCTTTTTAAATGACAAAGCACAGGTATTTCGATGAATCCTCTCATAACAAAATGACATAGTAGCAGTAAACTACGTGTAGTGGAAACAAAATCTGGGCATTATTGGGCTACTTCATCTTTGTGGTACCAGTTGCTTGGGAGAGCAGAGAAAGGACACAGAATGGGAGAAAAGAAAGCTACTCTCATTATCCCATAAGTATATATGTGGAAGCCAGTCTATCCATACTTACAACTGTTTGATACCACGTCATGCTTCCTTAAGCATGACGTTGTTCTTCTGGTGTTGTTCTTCTGTCCAGGCTGCAAAGCAGTGGTGTGATGACAGCTCACTGTGACCTTAAAACTCCTGTAATCAAGCAGTCCCTCCCCACTCAGCCTCCTGAATAGCTAGGACTGCAGGTGTGTGCCTACAACTGGGTAATTTTTTTTTTTTTTTAAACAGAGTTTTGCTATGTTGCCCAGGCTGGTCTTGAACTCCTGGCCTCAAGCAATCCTCCTGCCTCTGCCTCCCAAAGTACAGACATGAGCCACTACACCTGGCCCTTCCTTAATTATAAATCTTCCAAAGATCCTTCAGTGTTCCACAGAATTTCAATACAAATTTCATGATTAAAAAGAAATCAAATGAAAGATAAAATCCCTGCAAACTAGTAAAAATTTACCACCCCATTCCAAACCTACTTTCTCTTGCAAATTGTTATTGGAATATGCCTCTGTGCTTTGGCTTTCAGTTAAGGTAGCACATATATCAGAGGAGATATATTTTGTTGCAAGTCAGAAACCTTATCACTCATTCCACACCAGAATTATATCTGTAATGTTCCTTTTTAAAACAACAACATATCTTACTACTCTCACCTGAGATAAAGAACAAAATCTGAAGCACAATCCATATCACAGCCCTTCACTTGCATCAGTGTCCATACACTCCAAATCAAATTGATCTGTATTACCTTTTTAATCACAAGATAGGATTCTAATCACAGGGCCAGTGAGACTGTTCCATTTCTTATCTAGAAGTTAGAATATCTGAAGCCATCCTCCCTCCTTACAAACCATAATTGTCTGTCAAGGCTCAGTGCAGAGAACAAAAACTCTCTTAACTATTTCAAGGCATATATTGCTGTAAATTAGTGCTTTCAAAATTGGTAGGTAGGCTGTAAAAGTAATGAGAACACTTCTGGACTAGTGACTAGGTAGGCTGTAAAAGTAATGAGAACACTTCTGGACTAGTGACTTCAACGTAAACTCCCATAACTATGATCCAGGGATAGAGAAATAATGGTTGCTGAAACCAATGATGCTACCAGCAGTACTACCTCAAAGCCACAGAATCTGAAACTAGACATGGGAACATGGAGTCCAGCTGCAGCAAGTATGACAGAACTCAACTGTCCACTTTACCTACAATAACACCCAGTACACTACATACACACACGCAAAGGCACAAGCAGGGATGCACACAGCTACATGAGTAGTACTCATTACATAATTAGTGTTCATCATTTAGGATTCATTTCAAAAATCACATCCAGGTAAGCCTGCTCTGATCTCTTATAGTATGTTGTTTCTTGGTTATGTCCTCATAGCACTTGTAAACAATTATTTCTAATTTACTTGCTATCCATCTTTCTTGTCAGATAACATCCCTGTGAGAAAAAGATCACATTTGTTTTGTTCATTATTACAATGGTTATCAATATGTGCTTTCTGGACGGTGAGAACACATGAAAAATGCAAATTCAAATCAACTCATACAGAAACTCTATAAGATTCAGACTTAGCAATCTGTGCTTTAATAAACCCTCCTAGTGATTTTGACACACCACTAAGCTCAGAACTACTGGATTCCTGTATCCCATCCCTGTGTAATACACGAGTGATGCTCAGTAAATTTTCTTGGAATGTATTTAATTAAGCCTACTGGAAACTGACTGAATAATCCTCATCAAAATACTGCTATTCTTAGTACAAAGAGCAGGTGATTTTTCTCTAGGTTTGCTAGTCTCCAACTAAAGGCTATGCTAAGGCTAATCTTAGTGAAATTTTTTTACAAGAAATAGTCACAGTAAAAGAGTTTGTGATATACAAAATGATTTTATTAGATGCCAAAACTTTTATTAACATCACTATTTCTTTTGCAGCTTTAATTTTCAACATTATAACACTTACTGGCTCCTCTGGGTGACTAAATATCTTCACATGTCCACTAGCTAAAAAGAATTTCTAAGTATAACTCAACTGAAACTGCAAGCTACTGCTCTAAGAAATGCATATTTTATTATGTTTATTTGCTCTCCTGTAGAATCCAGTTTACAAATAGCATGACTGCAAAGATTTACACATAATTCCTAAATCCTTCAGGTTGTTCTACCATTAATCTTCTGATGTGTAGCAAGATAAACACTCTTAGTGAACACTTTGCTACATCTCTTAAATGAGATTTCTCTCTATTTTGAGTTCTCTGCTGTAGAATAAGGGATACACTTGGAACTGAAGACTTCCCTCAATTTCTAAATTTTCTACATTCATACAGCTTCTCTCCTGTAGGAGTTTGTAAAAGATTCCTATTGCCTACTCTTTCCCACATTTGCTACATGTACAGGGTTTTTTTCCTAGTGTGAGTACACTTATGCCAATTAAGGGATTAATACTGACAAAGATTTTCCCACATGTATGGTCTTCATATGATTTCCCTACAGTATAACGTCTGATAAACAAACAGGCCTACATCTTTGCTAAAAAGTCTTCCTACAGTCACCACGTTCATAAGACTTTCCCCAGTATAAATTTTTCTAATGTTAAATAAGGGAGAATCTAGGAATGAAAATTACCATGATAAACACTGCTTCATATAGTTTCTCTTCTGTAAGGTTTCTCACATGTATAGTGATTCATATGGTCTAAAGGCTTTCCCACACTTACCACATTATTGGGTTTCCCTCCATTATGTACTCTTTGATGGGCAGTAAGATTTGAGCCTTTGCTAAAAGCTTTCCCACACTCATTACATTTATATGGCTTTTCTCCAGTATGAATTCTCTGATGTACAGTAAGGTTTGAACTACAGCTGAAGGTTTTCCCACATTTAATACATTCATAAGGTTTCTCTCCAGTATGAATTCTGTGATGTTGAAGCAGGGATGACCTATGAGTGAAGGCTTTCCCACATATACTGCATTCGTAGGGTTTCAATCTAATATGATTTCTCAAATGCATATTCAGTGATTCAAGCTGGTTGAAGGATTTCCTGCATTTCTGACATTCAAAGGGTTTTTCTTCAGTATGAATACTCTGATGCTGAACAAGAAATGAGAGGCTACTAAAGACTTTGAGACATTTGTTGCATTCATATTGTTTCTCCATAGTGTGAATTCTTTGATGTCGAGTAAGGTGTGAGCTACAGCAAAAAGCTTTCCCACATTCTCTACATTCATAAGGCTTCTCTCCAGTATGGATTTTCTGGTGGTGAATGAGAGATGACCTATGAATGAAGGCCTTTCCACATATACGACACTCATAGAGTTTTTCTTGCGTATGAATTCTTAGATGTTCAATAAGATGGGACACACGACTAAAAGACTTTCCACAGTTCATACATTCGTATGGTTTCTCTCCAGTGTGAGTGCTCTGATGGTTAGTAAGTGATGACACATGGCTAAAGGCCTTCCCACATTCAACACATTTGTAAGGTTTCTCTCCACTATGGCTTATCAGATGTCGTGTAAGGGATGAGCCATGGCTAAAAGTCTTCCCACATTCACGACATTCATAGGGCTTCTCCCCTGTGTGAATTCTCCAATGGCGATTGAGGATTGACTGTTTGCCAAAGGCTTTCCCACATTCACTGCATATATAGATTTTCTCTCTAGTACAAGTTTGGTGAAGGGTAAGAGATTTGCTCTGGTGGAAAGCTGCCCCACTTTTACTAGAATTCAAAAGTGTCTTTCCACCACTGATTTTCTCATTTTTTACAGCTGACTTTTTTGGTAAGTTCTTCTTTAATATATCATATTTGTGTGAATTCCCTTCAGCAGAAATTTTTTGTGTTTCAAAAAGAGTAGACTTTGAATGAAAGGTGTAAACACTGTCTGGAGTGGGGCTTTCTGTAAAGGTGAGAGTTGCTGGTCTGAAATGCTCTACCTGACTTCCATGCTTCCCTTCCAACTTCTCTATATATTCCAAATTCTTCTTAGAATTTGAAAATTCATAACTTTGTTTTATAACTTTTTCTATCATTACTGTTTGGGGTGAATCTTCATCATAAATATCCTTCTTTGTTGATAATTCCTTGCTTTCCCATCTTGATTCCCAATCTGAAATACATCAAGAAAGTAAAGCACTGCTTTTTTTTTTTTTTTTTTTTTACTTCTTGAAAAGTAACTTCTATAGTGGAATTAGGAGAACTGGATTAGAAATGAAGCCCCCACAAAACTCAAATATTTCAATGGTTTCTGAACAATACTCAAATGGAGCAGAGAATACAAAGTTCACAGAATTAGGAACAGAGTGTGATAACGGAAATGGGAAAAATATATGTAATGGATGAAATAGTATGGAAAAAAAGGAAATTATCAAAATAAAATGTGGAAGGCATTCTGGATTCCAAGCCATCATTTTGTGCCTATATTCATGTGTGAAAGACTGCATTTTGTCTCATAGCCTTTCTCTCCAACATTCAGTTAATCTCAATCTGCTGCCATATTAACACGCTTAAAATACAGAATTGATATTTCTACTTTAAACAGTTTCAGTAAAAACAAAATAATCTAAATGCTCTTTATATCTGACAAAGATTTAGGCTATCCGAGGTTATGGAGAAACTGTGTGAATCGTGTCATTTACCGGACATTAGAAAATATTATTCCTAGAAATATCTTTATATATGTTCGTTTTTTCCTCTAATATGTTCATATTTCATCTATAAGGCTCAGCTTTAGAAAAGTGATTTCCCATCTAATTGACAGCTTTTCTTAGCCTAAAACTATCAGTAGGTTTTTCTTTAAGTAGATTTAAGGAAGAATAATTTGCCTTACTTTGTCATGAACAGAGTAACAATTGAATTATTATGATGGCAAAAACCTCTAACCCTGATTAGATGACATGAGTAACACAGATAATAATTTGGGATAGAAGAACAATTGTTTTGAAAATCTAAACTAAATATCCCTCAATTTTTCATTTCTATCTGAGATCTTTGAAGACAGTATCCCTAAAATGCTTCCACACTCTCTATAAACATCTTTAACAAAATCTTCCTTAGTCTCGTTCACCATGACTCACCTGGAATCATACCTTTTGACAGTTTTTTCTCCACCATCCAGGGCTCTTTTCCATCCTCCAATAACATGATCACATATGGCTTAGTTACGGAAAGACCTGCTTACAGGAAGAATATAGAATTGTTTAAGCTGTGGTCCTCTATTATGAGAGGCATCACATGAGGGACCACAGGAAGGGATGAAGAGTGTTCACTGAAATGGAAAGATAAGCTTCAGGGGCACAACAGAGCTGCACATTTCTTTGGGAACATGCTACAGAAATTCAGCCATTTCAGAGTAGCAAAAGAGCCCCTATTGGAGTGGAAGGGGTGATATCCTTACCTACAGAGACCAGGTTCTCATAATTCTGGACCATCACATCCTTGTATAAGTCCCTCTGAGCAGAATCGAGCCATCCCCACTCTTCATGAGAGAAGTCTATAGCCACATCACTAAATGTCACCTGAAATAGCAAACATATTTAGGCTCATGCATAGCCCAGGCCTCTTCTGTCACTGAAGAAAGGGTAAAATTAGCCTGGTTGTGGGAGAAATGGAATAAGATTCAGGAATTGTGGCAATGATTGGGAATGTGATCTCAGTTAAGTAATAATAGGACAGTATGTAGTTGGAATTACTATACCATAAGGGGGACAGGTATGTGATTAGAATTATTATACAATAAGGGTGAGAAACCAATATGAGAGCTTTGCTTCAGTACAGTTAATTTTGCTAAAAGTTACAGAAATACACAAATTTTAAAAAATCAGTATTTGACAGCACAGGGTCAAGTATTTAGTTGTATCTTTTACAGCTTAAGTGCTAGGTAAGTAATTAAAAAAACGAGGCTAAAGCGATTCTCTCTCAAATGGAATACTCAGGATGATCCACTAAGGCTCACACAAAATGGGCAGCCAGGTGTGGTGACTCATGCCTGTAATCCCAACTACTTAGGAGGCTGAGGCAGGAGAATGGCTTGAACCCAAGAGACAGAGGTTGCGCCACTGCACTCCAGCCTGGGTAACAGAGCAAGACTCTGTCTCAAAAATAAAAAAAATCTTTATATTAAAGACTGATAGACATACACTGTTATGGTTTGATTGTGACCCCCAAAAAGCATGTATTGAACTTAATCGCCATTGTAACAGTTTTGAGAAGTAAGACCTTAGGAGATGATTATGCCTTGAGGGCTTTGCCCTCATGAATGGATTAATGTCATCATCATTAGGACTGGCTTATTTAATAAATGCATTTGGGCCCCTTTTTGGTTCTCTCTCTTCTCTTCACCCTTCCACCATAAAGGGACACAGCAAGAAGGCCCTTGCCAGATGCCTGCCCCTTGATCTTGGACTTCCCAGGCTACAAAACCATGAGGTCAATTTCTATTGTTCATAAATTGCTCAGTCTGTGGTATTCTGTTACAGCAGCACCAATGGACTAAAACATACATATAACTGATTCATAAACAAAAAAGAAAAATATATTTATGGTGTATACTTAAACTTTGTACTGACAGACATTTAATAATTAAAATATGAGACCCCTGAGTGAAAAGACTGAAGGATGGTTTCATGTCATAGATCAGGTGTCTCTAACCCCCTGGGCCACAGACTGGTACCGGTCTGTGGCCTGTTAGGAATCGGGCCATAGAGCAGGAGATGATTGGGAGGCAAACAACTATTATCACCTGAGCTCTACCTCCTGTCAGATCAGCTATGGCATTAGACTCTCATAGGAGCACAATCGCTACTGTGAATTGCACATGCAAGGGATCAATTCACACCCCTTATGTGAACTGAACTAATGCCTGATGATCTGAGGTGGAACAGTTTCATCCCCAGAACACCACCTCCCACTTCTGTGGGAAAACTGTCTTCCACAAAACTGATCCCTGGTGCCAAAAAGGTTGGGGACCACTGTCTTAGATAGTCCTTAAATAGGACCTGAAAGGAAAGGGAAAAAAAAAAAGGGTACATTTCAAAGAAAATACTCTAAGGAAATGCTCACAGATGTGCTTAGAAATTCCTTTCAACAGTACTCATTTCACAATATTACTTAAAATAGTAAAACTCTGAAAGCTTCAATATTCAATAATAGTTTATTGGCTAGTCAAATTATATTATGTACAAAAAATACATCCATTTAATACAGCATTATTACTGTCTTTGATTTGTGAAACAAATTGCTTGCCTGTGGTAATTTTTTGGGTCTGACAGTTAATTCAGTATTGTGTTACATTATTTAGATATTTTGTATGCATATTCACCAGTGATACTGGTCTTTGGTTTTAAAGGCAGAATTTACTTTTGCCAGGTGTTGGGAAAATAATTAAAATTCAAATCTCCTGCCAATGGCAGAAAATCCTCTCCACAAATGTAGAAAAAAAAGAACACAGTTTTATTACTTAATAAGCATTAAATCAACTGTGATGCACTTCACAGGCAATCCACTAATGAGATTAAAAGGACAGGAAGAAATCTCATCTTTTTTATAGCCAAGCAGATACAATCCAACACATACATTTTCCAAACAATCAAGTAAGACCTGACAGTTCAATTTGCTACACATAATTTATCCTAAATTTACCTGTTAATTGTAGTTGCCACTGTGTTAGTTAATTCCCTTTATCCCAAATCAAAAAAACATTTATCATAGCTTTATGATGAACAGGTTATTATAAGTTAGAGCCAGGGATGCTTCTTTCTTCCCCTTCAGTTGCCTGGGCAGCCTGGGGTGTTCACTCATCTCTGTCCCCAAAAGAACATAGGATATCTGTCCTAGCACTTATTTTAACTTGTTATGCTTTCTTACTTTTCTACCAGTGCTGCAATCCTCAATACAGTAGCCACTAGGCAATTTGGCTACATACATTTAAATTAATTAAAATGTAAAAATAAAATAAATAAAATTTAAAATTCAGTTCCTCAGTTGCTTAAGCCACAGTTCAAGGACTCAATAGTCATACAGGGCTAGTGGCTACCGTACTGACCAGTACATGTGCAGAACACTTCCACCACTGCAGAAAGTTCTCTTAGACAATACTGTATTAGAACATGAAGTCCTGTGTGTCGGTGTACACCGAAATTCATCTACAACTTTTCCTAACAGGTACTTCGTAAGTGTTTAGAAGATGAACCAATTAATGATTTTGGCATGAGTTCACCTTAGCTGTTACTTTTTTCTTGCTCTGTCGCCAGGCTGGAGTGCAGTGACATAAACATAGCTCATGCAGCCTCATACCACAGGGTTCAAGAAATTTTCTCAACTCATTGGCCTCTCGAATAGCTAGAAAAAGAGGCATGTACCACCACACCAGTTTTTCAATTCTAATTATCTAATTTCTCCAAGAAAACAGACTTCACCCAACATGTACATCTGCTACTCATGTTCTCTCCTGTGCAAGCTTCACATTCTATGCCATGATTCTGCCCCGTCAGTTCTTCATTACTCATCTTATTCACTCAACAATTACTTACTAAGCATCTATTTGGTGCCAGGTACCACTCTGGGTACTGAAGCTATAATAGACAACAAAAAAGAAGCCGGGTGCGGTGGCTCAAGCCTGTAATCCTAGCACTTTGGGAGGCCGAGACGGGCGGATCACGAGGTCAGGAGATCGAGACCATCCTGGCTAACCCGGTGAAACCCCGTCTCTACTAAAAAATACAAAAAACTAGCCGGGGGAGGTGGCGGGCGCCTGTAGTCCCAGCTACTCGGGAGGCTGAGGCAGGAGAATGGCATAAACCCAGGAGGCGGAACTTGCAGTGAGCTGAGATCTGGCCACTGCACTCCAGCCTGGGCGACAGAGCAAGACTCCGTCTCAAAAAAAAAAAAAAAAGAAAAAAAAAAAAGAAAAAACATTTCTCCCACCAGGAAGAGGCAAACAATGAGCACCTGCGTATACTGAATATACAGTACATCAGCTAGTGAGTGACACGTGCTGTGGAAAACAACAAAGCAGTGATGGAGGAGTGGAAGTGCTAGGCGAGGGAAGATGACCGCAATTGCAAATAGGCGTTCAGGGATGCTTTTCTGAGAAAGTAACCACGGAGCAAACACACGAAGAAGGTAAGAATGCAAGCTTGTGCCTATGTCGGGGAAGAGTATTTCACGTGGATGGCACAGCGACTGGTGACAGTGGCTGGAGCTCACAGGAATGAGGAAGCAGAGAAGGAAGGTGGGATCAGAGAGGTAATGGCCTAATTGTACAAACAGGTCATTGCAGAAGTAACTCAGAGCCACTGAAAACTTTTAGGTTGAGGAACGATAGGAATTTATATAACAGTAGGGTCACAATAACAGCTGTACTAAGAACAGACCGATGAGGGTTACAGGCAGATGGAGGGAATCCAGCTAGGATTCCGCAATAATCCAGGTGGCTTTATCGCTAGCACTACCGGGGTGGTAGTGGTGGTGGTAGTGATGGAGTAACTAATGGTCGGATTCTGTATACAGCGTATAACTTAGCTCCAATTAGAGGATCTGAGTAAGAGTTATAAGTCAAAGGGAGAATCAAGGATGACGGCAAACATCTCTTCACTTGAGACTACATGGTACAGTTTTGACAATCATAAAGCAAATAACCTTACATTCCAAAGTTGCATTGTGAATTGTAGTTTTAAAACGTTGGCAAGACTAGAAAGTCTTCTAGCAGAAAACTGTAGAAAAGAGGAACAGTGGGTGAGGCGGACAATACCTTGTGGGCTCCATCCTTCCTATATGTATGGATGGAACCATAGATTCAATCCCTTAAATAGACTTAATTAGGTGGGAACAGGCAGGAGAAGCAAAGCAAACACACAGTCCTGATAAAGTGTTTCAGGAAGATTTGGGGACACACTGACTTACCTGAGACATTACTCTGCAATTTCCCAACAGCCAACAGAGTCCTCTTGCCAGGCTCTTATCTTAGAGATGGGCAGTGTCCTGAGGGCACAGAAGGGCAGGGAAAAGCAGTCATGAAAAATCAGGTTTATCTTACGGCACCTGTGACACACCATAATGGAAAAGCACACTGGTAATCACTCTCCAGGGCGTCAATCTCTCCCTGGGAACTAACAGGTGGTTTCTCCGCAAGGGCTAACCGTTTACCAGGTGCCACCTGCGGGGAAAATCAATTATTCTGTACATAAAAGCCTCATAAAACAACGATAACAACTATCAGCTCATTCGATCTTCATTACTACGCATGGTCGGCATTCACATTATTCCAGATTTCTTTTTAAACAATGACAAAACTGAAATTCCAAGATACTGAACCTATTTGTTCAAGGTTACACAACTGCAAAGCGCCGGCTTCATGACGACATAACCCAGACAACTGTGGCTGGCGTCTGCTCACGCGCCCACTTCGCTCTCACAACAGCGCCAAGATGTCGGCGCCGTCATCACCCTGCGTTTACACAGGAGGACAAGAAGGCCAGGAAAAGCCAAGGCACCGGCCGGGGTCACACCGCGGGGCAGACCCAGGGCCTGAGCCCCGCCGCCGACCCCGGGACTCACACCGGCCGGAGTCCTCAGCGGGGCTTCACCGTCCCCGCAGGCGCCCCGAGCCCGCACCTCTGCGGACCTGACGCCCCGCGTCGCTGGTGAGCGGGCAACGGCCGCCGACCTCCGGGAACGACACTGCCCAGAATCGTCCCTGAGCCTAGGAGTCGCCGTTAGGCCTGAGGCTACCGCGGGACGGACCCAGTGAGCAGCCCACAGCCGATCGACATTTCCCAGAACCATCCGCTAACCGCCGGCACCGGAAGACCACGCTTCCCAGGAGTCTCTGCGGCCGCGCGGACCTGGCGCGCCGCGGGCAAACCGGTCTAGGTTTCCTAAGAAACTAAACCGCCTGGGGCTATTGTCCCACAGCCGGCCAGTTAGGACCATGCGCGAAGTGTCCTGGGGCACACAGTCATCCTGTGGTGAAAGATACACCTCGGAACCAAGGGCTACCCTCTACTTTTGAGGACAATAGCCCCGGGACCAAGAAACTACACTTCCCAGAAAACCGTGCGGCCATGGCAAACTCTTTCTGGGTCAGCGTGCGGTCACACCAATATTTCTTTCCGGGGGCGTGGGCAGACCTTGCGGGTACTGCGCGAGCTCTCGCCTTTGCTAGCAAAAGAGTTCCTTTCTTGCCAAACCCTGCTGCTACGCTGTCCAGCTTCTGTGGTGTTTGAGGTTTTTTTGGAATGCACTTGCCGGAGACTACAGCTCACAGAACGCCTGGGCTGGACTGTGCCAGCTGTAGTTCGCCAAGGACATTTCTTGGAAATGCATGCGGCCACGTATCTGTGACACAAATGGGCGTTCTCATGTGCGTTAAGCTCCGTGGAAGGACTTGGAAATACGGAACTTGAGTGAGCGCTGGGAGGACAGAGACCCTCATCCTGGGAGGAGTCACTCCTCCCGCAGCCATCAGAGCCTGACCCCCCGCCCCTCACCAGAGGCGCTTCTTAGACCCTGACCTTGCCCGGCCCACCCAAAGGAGCAATGGACCTCTTTGTATGCAAACCAGAGCAGTCTACTGTTGGTGTATATTTGAATTTTTTACTTTCTTTTTAATATTTAAATTAAATTTTAATTTAATGCTGCCTCTGCCTCTGAGAGAGACAGGGAGAGATAGGGGAGGCCTGGAGTGGGGGCCCTGCGGGACAGGGATAGGGGACCCTTCCTCACTTTGCACAATCTGGGAACCCTCCCCAAGGGGAACATAAAGCTGCAGTGGAAGAGCACTGGCCTAGTGGGCTTCGTCCTGGGGACAAAGGCTGGGAGACTGCAGCTGAAAGGTGTGGGCTCCAGGAGGGCCTCAGAGGGCCCAGCAGCAGAGGGCCCAGCAGCAGAGTCAGGGAGCAGAGGTCCGCCCTCCGTCCATCTTCCTTCCTTCTCTGGCCCACAGAGCACTCTGTGCCCCTCCCACGCCCACAGCTACAGGTGGAGCCGGCTTGCGGGGGCGGGGGTTCTTTAGAAGGAGTGGGGGTCCTCCTAGGGTAAAGAGGGCCAGGAGGCTTCCTGGGGACCTCAGGCCCCTCTGGGCCTCCCAGGACTGGGCCTGTGGCTGTGATGTGTTTTGCCCTGGAAGTGACGTGCTCAGTGGTGGAGTTTGTGTAACTGTCACTCATTCACCTGCCCGTGCCCAGCCACTCCCATCGGCGCCCACCCAATACACATGTGGGTCCTCAACTGCCATCAGGGGAAGTTCCTGCCTGTGTCACACACATCCGTCCCACCCACCACACTGCAAGTTACAGGACTGCCCCACATGCACCACCATGCCCACCTGAAGTTACCTGGCACACAGGTATCCTCACCTGCACGACATGACCAGGTCGTGCACTTTCTATGCTAGGGCCAGGGCAGGCTTGCACCTTCAGCCTTAGGGACACTGGGGGTGGTGATAGCTGGAGGCCAGGGAAGTCACCAGGCTGGAGACATCATCTACCTCCAGGAGAGGGTTGATATCAGACATCTCCCATGCACCACTTTGAGCCATCTCAGCCTCACCTGGGACTCTGGCTGGCACCAGCAGTTCCATGAAGGTTTAGACCATCTCTAGGTTTAGGAAGGGCCTCCCTTGCCATCACCGTGGTCTGGGCTGCACGCCTTCTGAGCAAGGGCTCTGGGCAGCAGATGCAGCCAGCCTGAGTGTGGGGGTGAGGGGCCTAGGCACAGGAGGGTTGCAAGGCCTTCACTACACCCACCATTTCAGAGGGAGGACAGTAATTGTTTGGGTTTGTCCTGTGAGGTGTGGCAGAGAGCAGGGCCCAGGGCACGTCCAGGGCCAGACAGGAATACTGTGCTGCAGCCTCGGGGCCACGAGGGTACATGATGGGGCCAGTGTGGGGGCATCCCCTATGCCAAACACCTGGGCAGTAGGTGCCCTGGGGCCAGTGGGTGGGTCAGAGCGTTTGCAGGATTTCTGATTTCTGTTGGACTTGTGTGTCCTGGAGGATAGAGAGAAGAGAGAAAGGGTGGAGAGAAGGGGGAGATGGCCCCTGCAGCTTCCTGGCCTCTAAGTGGGGGTGATGGGTGGTAGATGAGTGGCAGAGGGGTCAGCGGGAGCTTCAAGGCTGAGCCAGGGAAGCGGAGGCAGCAGGGATGCAGGCCTTGCCTGAGGTTGACTTGGGGCTGGGGCTTAGAGGCCAGGGCCCTAGAGCTCCCAGACAGGGAGTCTGTAGGAACACAGCACATGACACAGCATAGCACAACTCAACACAACACAACCTGGCACAGCAGAGCAGCGTGCTGTGCACTGGGCTGCAGCAGAACGGGGAGGGAAGTCTGTAGGGTCCCAGGAGTCATGGAGCAAACTGACCTGAGCCGTGTCCCTCAGCCAAGGCACAGGCACCTGGCCTTGAGCCACCTACTTCCTTGTGACAGCCTCATGCCCTGGTGTCCCTGGGGCTGAGACAGGGCTGGGGCTGCTGTCCAAGGTGAGGTCTGACTAATCCCTAACCTCTAACCCCGAGCTGTTTTGGGAACTTGAGCTTCTTCTAGGGGACCCAGTGGTGCTGATAGGATTTCTGGGCACCTCAGCCAGGCCCCCTGCCCACCTGGCCACATTGGCTCCCACTCAAATCTGACCTTAGGGCTTGTGTGGCCTCTGCTTACTGAGCCCTGTGGTTCTCTGCCAGGCACTGTTGGCCCTGCGTGCAGGCTGGCACCTGGAGAATGGCCTGTCCCCAAAGCCTGCACTCCTCCCAGCTCACCCGCTTTGCTTTTCTCCCGCACTGGGAGGTGGGAACCGGGTTGACACTGGGGGAGGAGCACCCTCAACTCTGGCTTCACTTTAGAGTTCTGGGCAGGGCTTTGGGAGATGATACCCTCATTATTTATTCTTTGGAAGAATTTGTATAAGATTGGTTTCCTCCTTAAGTATTTGCTAGAATGTCCCAGAAAAAGTCATTTGCCTGGGATTTTCTTTGCAAAAGTTTTTAAAATTTTAATTTGGTTTCACAGACAATTAGAGGACTGCATGGCCACCAGCAACAGTTGCAGATTCTTATGGGCAATAAAACTCAGAGACACAATAGGCGTTCACTTGACTCTAAATTAACGTAGATTTATGAAAGGACAAAGAAAAAGCATGTTCAGCATTTTCAGCGTTATTGGTGGGGTGAGAGATGTCCAACAGCAGTCTAACATTTCACACCACCATTCAGCAGCATTGCTATTTGGGAATTGAAGTTAATGTGCATGAGGTTCACCTTGAAATGTTCATGTATCATTATCTGATCCAGAACATCTTACAACATTGGAGGACACCTCCATGTCCATGTTAGTTCAAGAAAGCCTTGCTTTCCTAACAGTCTTTTACATGATCCTAATCATGTCGTCATTCAGTGTCCATACACCATTCACTGCCCTCCCAGTTCAGGTGCAGTTCCCCAAGCAAAGCTTTCACAATAAACAATGCCTGTAATGCAGCATTTCTCATTGATCTAAGTCTACTCTGACTGAAGAAACAGTGCTGGAGGAAAATAAAAGCAACATCGTCTTCCTAGGATTGAATATAGGAGACAGCCTAGGCCTCCTGTTCACGGTTCACCCTTAAGGATTATTCAGGGTTTCTCTATCTTCTCATGTCAGTATTTGAATGTTTTTTTGGAATTTAAAAATCTCACCTAATTTAAAAAATAAACACAGGCCAGTCGCAGTGGCTAAAGCCTGTAATCCCAGCACTTTGGGAGGCCGAGACAGGCGGATCACGAGGTCAGGAGATCGAGACCATCCTGGCTAACATGGGGAAACCCCGTCTCTACTAAAAAATACAAAAAACTAGCCGGGCGAGGTGTCGGGCATCTGTAGTCCCAGCTACTTGGGAGGCTGAGGCAGGAGAATGGCGTGAACCTCAGAGGTGGAGTTTGCAGTGAGCTGAGATCCAGCCACTGCACTCCAGCCTGGGCGACAGAGCGAGACTCCGTCTCAAAAAAAAAAAAAAAAGAATTTTCAACCCAGAATTTCATATCCAGCCAAACTAACTTTCATTAGTGAAGGAGAAATAAAATCCTTTACAGACAAGCAAATGCTGAGAGATTTTGTCACCACCAGGCCTGCCCTACAAGAGCTCCTGAAAGAAGCACTAAACATGGAAAGGAACAACCAGCACCAGCCACTGCAAAAACATGCCAAAATGTAAAGTCCATCGATGCTAGGAAGAAACTGCATCAACTAAGGAGCAAAATAACTAGCTAACATCATGACAGGATCAAGTTCACACATAATAATATTAACCTTAAATGTAAATGGGCTAAATGCTCCCATTAAAAGACACAGACTGGCAAATTGGATAAAGAGTCAAGACCCATCAGTGTGTTGTGTTCAGGAGACCCATCTCATGCACAGAGACACACAGATGCTCAAAATAAAGGGATAGAGGAAGATCTACCAGGCAAATGGAAAACAAAAAAAGCAGGGGTTGCAATCCTAGTCTCTGATAAAACACATTTTATCTGATAAAACCTAGTCTCTGATAAAACAAACAAAGATCAAAAGAGACAAAGAAGTCCATTACCTAATGGTAAAGGGATCAATTCAACAAGAAGAGCTAACTATCCTAAATATATATGCACTCAATACAGGAGCACCCAGATTCATAAAGCAAGTCCTTAGAGACTTTCAAAGAGACTTAGACTCCCACACAATAATAATGGGAGACTTTAACACCACACTGTCAATATTAGATCAACGAGATAGAAGATTAACAAGGATATCCAGGACTTGAACTCAGCTCTGCACCAAGCAGACCTAATAGACATCTACAGAACTCTCCACCCCAAATCAACAGAATATACATTTTTCTCAGCACCACATCGCACTTATTCCAAAATTGACCCCATAGTTGGAAGTAAAGCACTCCTCAGCAAATGTAAAAGAACAAAAATTATAACAAACTGTCTCTCAGACCACAGTGCAATCAAACTAGAACTAAGGATTAAGAAACTCACTCAAAACCGCTCAACTACATGGAAACTGAACAACCTGCTCCTGAATGACGACTGGGTATATAACAAAATGAAGACAGAAATAAAGATGTTCTTTGAAACCAATGAGAACAAAGACACAGTATACCAGAATCTCTGGGACACATTTAAAGCAGTGTGTAGAGGGAAATTTATAGCACTAAATGCCCACAAGAGAAAGCAGGAAAGATCTAAAATTGACACCCTAGCATCGCAATTAAAAGAACTAGAGAAGCCAAGAGAAAACACATTCAAAAACTTACAGAAGGCAAGAAATAACTAAGATCAGAGCAGAACTGAAGGAGATAGAGATACAAAAACCCTTCAAAAAATCAATGAATCCAGGAGCAAGTTTTTTGAAAAGATCAACAAAATTGATAGACTGCTAGCAAGACTAATAAAGAAGAAAAGAGAGAAGAATCAGATAAACACAATAAAAAATGATAAAGGGGATATCACCAGCAATCCCACAGAGATACAAACTACCATCAGAGAATACTACAAACACCTCTATGCAAACAAACTAGAAAATCTAGAAGTAATGGATAAATTCTTGGACACATACACCCTCCCAAGACTAAATCAGTAAGAAGTTGAATTCCTGAATAGACCAATAACAGGCTCTGAAATT